CATTTATATAGCACCCTTCAAGCAGGGTAGCATCTCAAAGCACTTAACAGTGGTGGAGCCTGACTCGGAGCTGGTGGGGGGGGGGGGGGGCGGAGGGGTGGGGTGGAGTGGGAGGGTGACTGTAAGCACGGTTAAAAAGGAAGGTTTTCTGATGCGGCTTGAAAAACGGGAGAGAGGAGGCAAGGGGAAGGGATTGAGGGAGAGTGCTCCACAGTTTTGGAGCATAGTGGCTGAAAGTGTGACCTCCAATGGAGGAGCGGAGGGCACAGGGGACAGGTAGGAGGCTGGTGCCAGTTGAGCGGAGGTGCCAGGTAGTGGATTGGGGAGTGAGGAGGTCGGAGAGGTAGGGAGGTGCCACAGAGTGAAAAGAGAGAAACGTTTTGGTGAAAACTTAAATATCAAACATATCACACTATGAACAGCATAAACAGCATAATAAACAACTGATTCTGTGTTCATTTTTTCAAAAGATGATCAGATGATCTTACATTAAGTATGTGTTATCTGGCTTTTCCTCACGAATCCTTTTGATTCTATTCTTCTAGAAATAGCACATTGGCAAGGTTCAAGACTGCTGTTCCTTAAATTCAGCTTTGTGGCATGTCTCTGTACAATTCTGCCCTAGTTGATGATCAATCAATGGTCAGTCTGTCCATAGAAACCACAAAACTTTGCCTTTACACCCTCCCTTCTGCCAATTCCTGCAGCTGCATCTCGGCTCGGTTCAGATCTTTGTAAACAGAATCTCAAAATCATAAACTTTCGACTTCCATGTGGTGTTTCCCAGCAGGAATCTATTTCACTACTTTCACAGGTAGGATTTTTTTCAAATCTGCGGGACACAAGCTTTGCTCATTGTAATCTCTTCCTGCCACTCAATATTACTCCTCATTTCTTCAATGGCCACTCTGTTAGTGTCCGTAAATAAATACATTCACAGTAGCATCCCGAAGTAAGTTTCCAATCCAAGCATTGATTCTATTATAATCAAAAATAAAAAAAATATTTTTTAATCAATTGAATTCTGTTTACTTACCTAGCAGGTAATAATCAGAATAAAGGAGGAAGAAATTTGTATTGCAACATATGTCGTGCTTAGGAGGTCGTGCTTAGGAGGTCATTATATTGTTTCACACTGAAATTCAGAGTATTCTGCTCCTATGCCCTTGATAGTGCTTCCTAATATTATCATAATTCACTAAAAGTGAAAGTCAATGTGAAGCTGCTATCAACAAAGCTGATCAAACATGATGGCGGTAAATTGAAATAAAATATTCTTATTGTGTACAGATTATTGACATTCAGTTGAGTACAGATACCCAGAAGTCATATTGAATTTGTACAGTGCTCCCGTCAGGCCACATCTGGAGTGCTGTATACATTGTGGTTCCCACAATATTCTAGAGCTACCCAGGTCCCAGTAAGAATGATAATAATAATAATAATCCTTGCATTTGATATAGCGCTTTTCACATCTTTGAGACTTTCAAAGCGCTTCACAGAATGGACTGTAAAGTGAATTGTCTGTATATTTGTGGGCAAAACGCAGCAACCAATTGCACACAGCAGTGTCCCACAAACAGTCATGGATTGAGTGAGCAAATTGTTATTGCNTTTTTTTCCATGAGGGATTATTATCAGGCGTGTAGAATAAGGAAACTTGCCCAAAGTTTAACCTTGCTGGGAATCGAACCCAGATCTCTCGCTTGCAAGTGCACTAACCACTGAGCTACAGGACTCCACTGCCTGGTGTTAGAGAAATCAGCCATGTGCAATGATTACACAAGCTCGAGCCCTTCGGCTTTTGAAACATATGTTCCCAGAATAAAGGCATATAGGATTTAAAATGGGTTTGAGAAAGTAAACCAGAAAAATAATTTTAGATATGTCAAGGCATCAGAACACGAGGGCACATGTTCAGGGTTGCAATGGACAATTTCAGGAGAGATACCAGGACATATTTCTTTACCCGGAGGGTTAAATCATAACTGGACTGTATAATTCATGAACTATATTTCAAAAGCTTACAAAACACATCATGTGATTAGAGCACATGCCTCACAAGCTAGAGGACCTGGGTTTCATTTCCGAGCAGGGCAAAATGTGAGGCACTTTTCCTTACTCCACTCACCTCTGTTTACTAGCAGTCAGTAGAAACCTGGTTGCTAGTCAATTGGCAGATTGCATTTCCGGGGATAATAAACCCTTCAAAAAATATGTAATAATAATTTGGTCACTCCATCCCAAGACTGTTTGTAGGACACTGCTCTGCGCAACTGGCTGCTGCGTTTCGCCCACACAATATACAGTTAATTCACTTTACAGTATATTCTGTGAAATGCTTTGAGACGTTTTGAAGACGTGATAAGGTGCTCTATCGAATACAAAGATTATTATTATTAAATGTTCTTTTTCTAGAAGTCTGTTCAAATGAGTCAGTGATATTCTCGATTTCGCCACCAGGTGGAGATAAGACTTTAGAATTACTTAGCATTGGTCAATTAATTAAGAAGACACCAAAGAGCTACTTTGTGAGTTGCAACATTCTGAAAACTGTCCTAAAATCAAAATTTCACTCAGTATCTCTATTTAATATTTAATCGCTTATTTTTAGTTGAATATTATTTTGTATCCTTTTAATATAAACATATAATTGTTGAAAATAAACATCTTAATCGTGATGTATCCAGGTGTAGAGGCTCTTTAGCAGTATTCTGTTTATCTTCTAACTAGACACAGGTTCTGTTGAACTGCAATAATACTACTGGCATTTTCACACGCTCCTGATGATAAATTAAGCATTCTTGTTGGAATCTTTCAGATTAAGTGATTGTTCAATCAGAAACCAACAATGTGATCTTTGTTAGCCATCTGTGGCTTTGTTGCTTTTATGGGTAAGTAAAATTTAACAACAACAACTTGCACTGATATAGCACCCTCCACCCAGGGTAGTGTCTCAGACCATTTAACAATGACTCAGCCTGACTCCAAGCCAGGTGGGAGGAGGTCGTCGCCTTAGAACCTTTCTCCGAAAAGGAAGGTTTTAAGGCGGGACTTGAAAGAGGGGAGTGAGGGGGCAAGATGGAGGGAGAGTGTTCCAAAGTTTCGGGGCGTACTGACTGAAAGCACGACCTCCAATAGTGGAGTGGAGGGTGCAAGGGACAAGCAGGAAGCTGGTGCCAGTCGAGTGGGTGGTGGATTGGGGAGCTCCAAGGGTTCCAAGAGCTCCAGGGGCTCCAGGAGATCCAGGGGCTCCAGGAGCTCCAGGGGCTCCAGGAGCTCCAGGGGCTCCAAGAGCTCCATGGTCTTCAAGAGCTCCAGGGGCTTCAACAGCTCCAGGAGCTCCAGGGGCTCCAGGGGCTCCAAGAGTTCCAGCAGCTCCAAGAGCTGCAGGGGCTCCAAGAGCTCTAGGGCCTCCAAGAGTTCCAGGGCCTCCAGGAGCTCCAGGGGTTCCAGGAGCTCCAGGGACTCCAAGAGCTCCAGGGTCTCCAAGAGCACCAGGGTCTCCTGGAGCTCCAGGGTCTCTAGGGTCTCCAAGATTTCCAGGGTCTCCAAGATTTCCAGGGTCTCCAGGAGCTCCAGGGGCTCCAGGAGCTCTAGGGGCTCCAAGATTTCCAGGGGCTCCAAGAGGTCCGGGGGCTCCAAGAGGTCCGGGGGCTCCAAGAGCTCCAGGGGCTCCAAGAGGTCCAGGGGCTCCAGGAGCTCCAGGGGCTCCAAGAGCTCCAGGGCCTCCAAGAGCTCCAGGGATTTCAAGATCTCCAGGGTTTCCAAGATCTCCAGGGGCTGCAAGTTCTCCAGGGGCTGCAAGAAGTCCAGGGGCTCCAAGAGGTCCAGGGGCTCCAGGAGCTCCAGGGTCTCCAAGAGCTGCAGAGGCTCCAAGAGCTGCAGGGGCTCCAAGAGCTCCAGGGCCTCCAAGAGCTCCAGGGCCTCCAAGAGCTCCAGGGGTTCAAGGAGCTCCAGGGAATCCAAGAGCTCCAGGGGTTCCAAGAGCTCCAGGGTCTCCATGAGCTCCAGGGCCTCCATGAGCTCCAGGGTCTCCAAGAGCACCAGGGTCTCCTGGAGCTCCAGGGTCTCCAGGGTCTCCAAGATTTCCAGGGGCTCCAAGATTTCCAGGGGCTCCAGTAGCTCCAGGGGCTGCAAGAGCTCCAGGGGCTGCAAAAGCTCCAGGGGCTCCAAGAGCTCCAGGGTCTCCATGAGCTCCAGGGCCTCCATGAGCTCCAGGGTCTCTGCAAGAGCACCAGGGTCTCCTGGAGCTCCAGGGTCTCCAGGGTCTCCAAGATTCCAGGGGCTCCAAGATTTCCAGGGGCTCCAGTAGCTCCAGGGGCTGCAAGAGCTCCAGGGGCTGCAAGAGCTCCAGGAGCACCAAGAGCTCCAGGGGCTCCAAGAGCTCCCGTGCCTCCAAGAGCTCCGTGGGCTCCAGGGGCTCCGGGGGTTCCGGGGGCTCCAAGAGCTCCAAGAGCTCCAGGGCCTCCAAGAGCTCCAGGGCCTCCAAGAGGTCCAGGGCCTCCAAGAGGTCCAGGAGCTCCAGGGGCTCCAGGGGCTACTGGGGCTCCAGGTGCTCCAGGGTCTCCAGGGTCTCCAGGAGCTCCAGGGGTTCCAAGAGCTCCAGGGGGGTAACAATAAGTTATGGTAGTGCGTTAGGTGGGATGCGTTTGCTACTGATTTTATGTCGAAAATAATCAATTGTGGTACGAAAAAGGGAAAATTCTGACTTCTATCCCTCGTTGCAGATATTTCCATTCACCGTCAGTTCACACCAGGTGTTGGCTAAAAGCTAAACGGGTGCGTTATATTTTCTCAATGCTTAATACACCAACTGTCTGAGGAATTGCACTTTGGACAACAGACAAGGTCACTAAGAAGGCAAGTGTTTTGCTGCTTTAGGAATTTCCCATGGAAGGGAAGATGCAACGAAAGTGAGGGTTGATTGACAGGCATTGCAATAGGCTTGCCCGGGCTCCCCTATATGGATGTATGGATCGGTCTGGACTAATACTGGGAGAAGAGCAGCTGGTCTGGCAGTGGAGAGAGAGAGACAGACGAAAGGTCCAGCGTCCGAGCCCACAGTCATGGCTGAAGGGGGTGAAGGGGAAGATGAAATCCAGTTCCTCAGGACTGTGAGTAGTAACAGTGCGCACACACACATACACACACATACACTCACATATACACTCACACACACATACACACTCATTCACACATTCTCACACATGCATTCTTCCAGCTCTCTGGTAACAGTGCGTCCTTTAATGAAGTGTGTTTGTCAATTGGGGGATTTAAGTCAGATATTTCTTTCGGAGCTGCAATGTAAGCTGCAAGTTGTGTGCAGAAACACACCCATAGATAACGTGCAAACCGACACGTTGCTAAAGGGTGTGTGTGTGTGTGTGTGTGTGTGTGGGTGGGGGGGTTATGAGTAAAAAAAAAACACCTAATGGTGCAGTTTAAAACCCTGCAGTGTTGGCTTCTGTATTTGGTGGATATTTATTTCTGTTTCCTTCACCAACGTTTAGGCGTTGCAGGTTTTGGAGCCTGTTTGCTGTGTGTGTGTGTGTGTGTCTGTCTGTGTGTCTGTCTGTGTTGTGTGTGTAGACACGTCCGGGTCGTTTACATGTGGTTTTAAGATGACTTTACGTTGCATTAAAGTGGCTCGAGAAGCAAACAAAAAAAGTCAAGGAAAGGAAACCAGCGATTCAGTTGCTTTGGGCAAATGTCGAGGACATTTGAACCCATTTAACGGCCGCCCCCAGCAATGCTGTCAACCACATTCTTTCACTCTCCCAACATCACATTAACACCCCAGCTCCTTCATAACGTTTCCCTCGGGTCTGATTCAATCAACCGCCACCAAGAAAAAAAAACAGGCAGTTGTTTAAAAATATATCTTGCAAAGTGCTGAAGTGATGCTTCGCGATAACATCAGTTGCAGTTACGAGCTTCTAAAAAAAAACACAACCATTTGGAAGTCCTGACTCTCTCACAGCAGCTCCTCTCCCTCTCCCTCTCCCTCTCCCACACACAGAGAGCAGTCCTGTGGGGCCACAGGGCTTTCCCTTCCCAAATGGAGTGCAATTCGCAGGTCGGCTGCACCACACAGAGGGAGTGCTGCTTCTATTTTTAACGCGGTGACTGTACAACTGGGCGGCAGAAAATGCCCCGCACGGTATTGTGCTGTAAACGATCTGTTTTGGTTCCTGCCCGGACTGAACAGGTGCATTTGGGTCATGTGCTGGGCAGCCCAGGAGCAGCGGGACCCCACTGCTCCAGCTCTCAGTGTGACTGACACTGTGGCAGGGCAGGGAAGCTGGGTCACTGTGAGCCCATCCATGGCCAGCACCAAAAAAGGGCTCTTTTCTTTCTCTCTTGTCTCATGTGTTGTGCGCTGGCCAGCAATCCCTCCAGATAAACTCACTCACTCACTCACTCACTTCATCATCATCATCATAATAATCTTTGCACTCGGTCTCGCGACTTTCACGTCGTCAAGACGTCTCGTAAAACGCTTCCCGGGATAAACCGTCCAGTGGATTGACTGCGTAATTTGTGAGTGAAATGCGGTAGCCAGTTGCGCACAGTAAATGTCCCACAAATATAGCCGTGGAGTGAGTGACCAACTTTATTTGAGGAGACCAGGAGAAACTCCCTTCTCTTTTTGAATAGTGCTATGGGATTTTTAACATCCACCTGAACCTACAGAGAGTATCTTGAACGCCCAACCTTCTGATTCACAAGGCTGTTAGTTGGACATTTACTGGTGCAAACTGGACTGTCACATTGCCCATGACATATGCAGTGATTACACTTTACAGTAAAATCCCGTGAAGTACCTTCAGACGTCTTGACGACAATGATGAGGCACTATATCAAATACAAGCATTATTGTTAGTGTAGGATTGTAGCAGCTTTTAATATAGCTAAATCCATGTGATACGCACTCCTCAAAACAAATGTCAAACTATTTGAAGCTAACATTCTCTCAGAATGACAGAATCTTATTTAATCTCCACTTTACCTCAGAGAGGGACCTGATGCTCGCCCTCCTCCCTCCTAAACAGAGCCGAATGATTATATATGAGGTGCTTTGCAGTAAATCTGTACTAAATTGGAAAGGTTTGCCAGGACTAAATTGTTGTTTGGTGTACAGTGTTTTTCTTTAGTTTTTTTTTCCCTGTTGCGGTGTAAATTCTTTTATGGTTGTGAAAACATTTAATTCTGTGGGGGGTGGGCTGAGAGAACATACAGATGGTATCTTGAATGCCCAAACTTCTGATTCACAAGGCTGTTAGTTGGACATTTACTGGTGCAAACTGGACTGTCACATTGCCAGTTCCTACTCAGTTCCTGTTAACCAGGTCAGTCTAAGCTGCAGGTGGCTTGCCAGGCAGTGCTTTCAATGTAATTCTCTGGTTATAGCTGGTTAAAAACCAGCAGCAGCTCAATCATACGCAAGTCTTGGGTTTTGCCATCCTGATCCTCCGGAAATGAGGCACGCAGAAGTGTTTCTTTCTGGGGAGAGAGTGCACATTCCATTCTGGACACTGGAACATTTCCATTCCTAACTGGCATATATATGTAGAACTCTCAGTCTGATTTCAATAGTCTTAAGCATGGCAATGCGTTTCTATATGTTTCAGACATCCAGTTGACCCCCAAAAAAGACTATTTCTTGTGTGTTATTTAATACTTTTGATCTGGCAAGTAGAGATCTTCACATTAAATTGAAAGTCTTGACATTTTGGAGCCAGGATTAAAGTGATGATTACATCTAGATTTTTTTGAAAACAATTCCCAGATATTACAATACAGTATATAGGAAATGCCACCAATTTGGAACTGGATAAAATATTTACTCATTCTCGACTTTTTAAAAAAAATCCCAGATATGAGATATCCTGGAGCTATTACAAGTATGGAACTGGCCAGAAATGTAATGATTTAGAAAATCGGAACAGCGATAAAGCTTGTTTGCACGACTTAATGTATTGCATGCACCCACTGAACTGTAAAACAAAGCCCAAAAGTTTATTTTATTGAACATGCAGAAAATGTGATAAGTGGTGAAACCTTTCAACCTAATGCACTGTAAGAACTGGTAATGTATCAAGTACAGCACTTGAGTGCCAGTTTTAATGGATTTAAGACTTTTCATTAGCAGAGTGGCCACTAATTATCAGATTGGAACCCATTTGTAATGGTGACCAAATCTCACAATTCTGCTGCCTATGCAACAATTCATTGAGCTTGTGAAATTTACCAGTAATTTTGCATATACAGGAATAAACGTGCATTCTTAATAAGTCCAATCAATTTAACATTGTGTGAACTTCTTGGATAGGTTTTTAATTTTGTTTTCTGTATTTTGACAATTTAATATGAATAATTCTGGCAATTTTTTTATTGTTGATACACCTTTGTTTATGAAGTAACCAATGAATATGTATCATCATACAGCATCTACTATTTAAAATTATAATAATGGATGCCTTTTCTACAGAAACCACATTTGTATCCATGGAAATAGGTTTATGAATTGATATATTAATAATAATACATGAATATGTATAGAGTAATGGAATCTGGAGAATATTAAATGACAGTCACCTATTTTAGAATTATGATAGCATAAGAGCAGAATTCAATCTGGATTATTAACACATCTCAACTTTGATTTTATTGCCTTGCAATGCAATGTTTTTTTCTCAATTCAATATAGATAAATATAAGGTACTGCTTATGGGAAGTAAAACCAGGAGGCACATGTACTTCATGAATAGGATAGACCTTGGCAAGGGGGAAGCTGAAAGAACTGAGGGTTGTTAGTTGACTCATCACTCACTGCGTGAAAACCATATGAGCCAACAATAAACAGCCTATATTTCAAATAAGTTGAATTCAAATCTCCATAACTAATGCTCAAGGGGACACAGATTCAGGGCAGAGAAGAGAAGTTTCAGGAAGGATATCAGGAAGTAGTTTTGTTGTTGTAAGTATTGTGTTACCCTGAGGGTAATTAATGACTGGAACAGGTTACCAGGGAGGGTAGTTGGGGCCTGGTTTAAACAAAAGTTTGATGCTATGATAAGAAGTTGGGAGTGTGCGTACTTTGGAAGTATGAGACCAAATGCCCTGAAGAGCCTTTTTTACAACAACAACTTGTACTTATATAATGCCCTCCACGCAGGGACACATCTCAGAGTGCTTTTCTTCGATGTCCTGAATCTTTTTACTCCAAATCAATTTTGGGAATTATTGAAATATACCTTTCGAGAAAAGTAAGTGATTACTCAAGAACTGACCACATGTCTATTGGACCACATGACTGGATAAACAGTGATATGTTATTTATTCATGGAAATAACACAGCTTCTTTATATTATTGCACACGTGTGTTGTCAGGTAAATTTCAGGAAATCTTTTTTAGGTAGTATTGAGGCCTGAAAGATATCTCTACTCCAGCATACCTGTCTCTGTCTATGTATTGTCTAGCTGTGTGTAGTTTTAATTGACAGCCACTTTTTGGAACTTATTCATATGGAAAAATTTTTGCAGCATTATATTACTGCAAATAGAGCTTCCATTAAAGTTTGAGGTGCCTGCATCAACTGCAATTTAATAGCAAATAGCAATGCAGAAAATGTACCACGGCTGAAAATATATCGGAATTTAAGTGTAAAGTTTGAACACAGGTTTTTAAAACAAAATTTTCTATGTGGACAGTGGACAAACTCTGGAAATGCAATCTCTCCTGGCAGAGCAGAGTGCAAGGCAGGATTGCCCAGGCCTCACTTGGCATAGGTCCCACTTTGTTTTTAAACACTGTGTCCTTCAAACATGTGAAACGTGTATAATGCGGCCAAAAGCTAAAAGGAACTTCATATTTCTTTAACTTTAGGTAGCGGTACATTATACCCTCATTCCTGCGGAGGATATTTAGAAACAAACCACAAAAATCAAAACTTTATTTCTGCTTGAGTTTTTCTACTCCAGCTGAAGTAGTGGTTGCACTAGTGGAACCAAGTCCATTTGTCCCTGTCCCATTGGGCAGCTAATGAAATAGGGTTAAGATAACACTGGATGTGAATGCCCAGCTCCATTCGCCTCGGACCACCCACACTGA